TAAATACGTATGGCGATCGTGTCGCCGTTGTCATAGTCAATAGTTTGTAGTATATAACGGACCAAAACTGACAGATGCTATACAAGCCATGTTTGTTTCATTCAATTTTCTCTCCCTTTAAAGGAATCTTCCACGGAAAAAGCTCCGCCCTCATTACCACAGAAAACGATACCTTAAAGGAATCTTCCACGGAAAGAGTGATCATTTTGTCTTGTGTGTAGGATTAGTATTATCGAAACTAACGCTTATGTTCCGTTCTTTTTGCTATGCTCATGAGGCTAGGGGCCTAAGGGGTATCGTTTTTCTGTGGTAATGGAGGCGGAGCTTTTTCCGCGGAAGATTCCTTTAATAGTTAAGGTCGAAGAGGAGAAAAATTATAGTGGCCGCGATTCGCAGCGGAGAGAATGCCTTAGCAGCCTAGCAGGGCCGCCTCCGTCACCTCCCCATCGCTGTCTGATCCTCTGGCCATTTAGCAGAGAGAGTGTTAGCCTTGAAGAGGGCACCACCGATAAGAGTCGCATCAGTGCGGAAAGCAACGGACAATGGAGGGATCCCATCCTCGGATTCTGGGCCGTTTCTCATGGATTTTTTAAACATTGCTGCACCATTGATCACCTCCTACCCTTATTTCTAGTGAGCTGCCTTTCGTCGTGAAACCCACCTTTAAAAGGTAGTGATCGTGATGAGGGCGTTATGGTTTGATGACGTCGTTGGACATTGTTGGTGAAAGGCTCACGAACTAGGTTGCTTCAACCACACTTTCCAGCGCATTAAGGATTCCATGTGGTTTGCCAGGGATAATCAATGAGGTCATCAGACCGCATCGCCCTCCAGCTATCGTAATCACTGCCTTTAAAGGATAACATTTTGCGATTGTGCAGATATGGGTTATTTAGACCATAAATGAATATCGCTCGAAGATTGATAGCCGAATAGAAAAAGTTCTGAGACAATGCTAGAGGCCTTTTAAATTTACTGCGTAGCCAGTGACTGTACTCCGCCACTGCAGGGTTTCATTGGTCAGCTCCTTCTCGATATGATGAAATACGGTAAAATACGGTAAAGAGCTTAGGCCGACTAATGAGGCTGTCGCGGGAGCAGCGTGACATAGTTGGCGTAACCGCTCTTATTAGCGTGAACTTTGATGTAGACGAATCTTGGGTTTTTTTTTGTGCTAAATTCCATTAGTAGTAGGATGAAGTAAACCGACAGAAGGCTCGTTGCGCGGCAAGAGGGCCAAGACTTGGACAAGTTGAGCGTGTGCTGTGTGCTGTGGTTATATTTCCAAATTAAGCTTCACGCGCATTCTAGCAGTACCGCTGGACTGGTCAGGGCGTCTTTGCTTTCCTGCCGCCGCGGCGGGCTCCTGTCTGGACGTCCCAGGAGACCACCACATCTACTTTCATGCACAGACGCAGTACCCACTTATTGAATTGCGAAATGGCCTTCAAGGAAATAATTCATTTTTAATATCATGAAAGCAGCAGCTCCTTTTTTTTTAGTTTGTATGCACTGGCGTTCACCGCTAACGAGTTAAAGTGTCGAGATTTTTGAGACCCAAATTATCAGATCGATCAATTACAGAAGTCTGGTAGTTGAGTGATACGGACGAGTTGTCCGACCGCAGCAGGATGGTGCGCTCTAATGCCAATGGGATCGCGCCATATGACCGCCTCTGCGGACCTTGTGATCATAACACCGTCGTAACTCGATCTTGGCTCACACCTTTGTGCAAGGCGTTGAATAGTTAGGGTCGCTAAAAAATCTCTCAACAGTGGAAACTTTAGAGGAGGATTCCATGATAAGGTCAGGGATAAAAAGGGGAATGAACCTGATGAAGGCAGGCTGACTCGCCAAGGGTGCGAGACCATGCGCGTTTCCTAGCGAAGGGTATGCTCCTCAGCAGCCTAGCAGAGCCGTACCCATGCTGCTTCCGCCGCTTCACTTCCACCGATTGGCTGACGATCGCCATCCGACTCTAGCCGTTGTAGCAGAAAGGGGGCCTTATTGCTTGCATTCTCGCCCGTTTTTCATGATTTTTTTTCACCCCGGATCACTGACCACCTCGATCTTGATTACTGATGGGCTGTCTTTTCATCGTGAACCCCACCTTTAACCAAGAAAATCCTGTGAAACGATATAATTTGAAAAATCGAGCACCAAATGTGGAATCAACTGCTATTGTTGTTGGCATTTGTTGGACACCCTTTACAATTGATGTACTCAGAATGAATTGAAGAGAGGAATGGCCAGAGGGCTAGCGCTCACCTTGACGTCGCCAAACGTTTTGGGAAGGTCGACCGTTTTTAAGCCAAATCCGAAATGATACAGGTAGTCATCCTCGACGTTTTCGAGGTATTTGTTCCTGAGGCCGAACGCCGGATAGGCAAACATCTTCTTCTCTGCAACACATAGCTACTTCATTGAAATACTGAATAATAACAGTTATTCCATCAAAAGGTGCTGAGCTGTGAACAAATTGTCCGATATCACAGAAACAGCTAGAATTTTCTGACACCATTGCTCATCAGTTGAATTTCTTGAGAACTCAGTTTGTCTGCCACTTTACTTTCAGCGGCACCACGGGTCAGCACATGTGTGGTTTAGGTCGTGGGACAGGCGCGTGCAGTTTTGTGTCTTAAGGTGCAGTGGGCAGCACACTTCCGCAAACGCGTAAGCATTTGGGCGGCCCCAGTACAAAATCGCGAGTTGACGAGTCCGCGCGCGCAGCGCTTGCGCTCATTCGCCTGATCTGCAAATAATCCTACTATATATAATCGGCTAAGCGGTTGTGTGTGTGTGTGTGTCTGACCGGAAATTCATAACTTCGGTCCCTTTGGTCGCCGAGCGCTCAAACTTTCAGGTGGTACGGGGGGCTGGACACGAACATCAATGGGGAGTGATCGGAATTGATAACTACTGATTAGAGCTGATAACGGACGTCGGAAAGCTCATATCACCAATTTCGCTACGCCGTTCGCGTTGACAGTGGAGAGTTTCCACTCATAAGTGTAATGTGCTGTGTGACGGGGACCCGAATAGAGAGCGAAGAATGGTGATAGCAAGTGATAAGAGATGACAACGTGCGCCGGAATGCAAAGGCCACCAGTTTTGTTGCTCTCCTCGCATTGGCAGTAACATGTTTGAACCCATTCATATTATGTGGGATGAGGCGGGGACCATGAGGGTGGGTGAAAGAAAGTGGTGGCAAGCGATAAGAACTGATAAGGGGCGTCAGAGTGTGGATACCACCAATTTCGTCGCGGCCTTCGCAGTGACATTAGATTTTTGGCTCTTACATATGGTACGGAGAATCTTACGGGAACACGAATGATAAGTGATCAAAAGTGATCACAATGGATGACGGCTGATAACGAAGTCCAGAATTGGGTACTATCAAATTCGTTGTAGTCTTCGTGGTGACAGTAAAACCTTCGCTTCTACATGTTTCATAGGGGGTTGGACGGGGACAACGATGCTATCCGTATGAACGGTAACAAATGACAAGAAATGATAAGGGGCGTCTGAATGCGAACGCTACAACTTTGTTGCAATTAACACTGCCATCATGGCGGCAAGGCTAAGCCAGGTTCTTAGCCCGTGAATGCTTCATTTCTATCCTTTCACCAAATGGTGCAAATGGTGCAAAGAAAGTTGAAACGCTCAACTATCTGGACCAGGACCAATGACAAGTTATCATCAGAGCTGGGTTAGTTGCAGATTGAATGGTCATATCTCACTCTTTCGGCGATACTCACAGTATTGATTCTATAGACCGCTAAATCATCCTAACTCGATATTAATGCTGAATGTTTACGAAGTCGTGATAAGCCATTTTCATTCCGCATGCTACGCGTGCACTGCGCGATAGTCTTCAGCGGAATTGCAGCCTTTGCATTTTATCAGGAGCATTTTTCAAAGCAGCTCAATAATTTTTCTCAGCCATGTGACCTAACATTCTACAGATTGTCCAGTTTCACTGAAGCCCACCATATGATGCGCGCGGATGCGTGCGGAGCTAAACTGGTTTGTGTTTTATTAAGCGCTCACACCTGCACATTACCGTGACCGTGACCATGACAAAGAACGCATTGCGGACAACAAGTCCTCACTGTTAGTAAGGCCCCGGCACTGTCAGAGGTGTATCGTTATTGGGAAAAGTATTCCTTTAATCTATTTCTTGGTATACATCGAGAGTGTCGTATTGCAGCTAAAAATAATAAGCCATTAAGAAGGCAGCGTTCAGAGACGGCGATTACATGCGATTAGGCGATTAGACGATTAGGCGATTAGGCGACTAGGCAGTTAGGTCATGGTTTGAAGGGAAAGTGTACGTATCGATTAGGCGATTAAGCGAGTTAGGCGATCAGTGCAGTAGCGATTTAGAAGAGGATAGGTTTATCCGGTATTTGGCTGCTCCATCCATTGAGCGGTCGCCTGGTCGCCTACTCGCCTAATCGCTGATCGATATGCATCCCTCTTATATACCAGTCGCCTGATTGCCTGATCGCGCGTACCATCGCTAACTCTGAACGCTGCTTAAGATCAATTCAGCGTGCCGACAGACTCACTCCCCATCAACTGTTAGGAGCTATCGTTCGTGTCACGCCCCTCTAGATGACATGTTCTGGAGGTTGCGCCGTGTTATGAGAAAAATTTCTAATTTTGAATTTTTTATTTATCAGTTTCCCATTTGCCTGTTGCCAATCATTTCCATCGAAACTTCCAGGGTGCGCCCGGTAGAAGCACATTGTGGACTTAAGTGACCTTTTGATGTGACTTGGATACGGTAATCACCACTTCGCATTCACTGCGTGATTCCAAGTCCGTGATAGGCCGACGTCAGACTTTGCGAATCAGCGATTAGTTAGTAGCGAGTTCGCTGAGTCGCTAGTAGGGAATCCGCGAAGTCGAATTCGCTAAGTCTGACACCTGCCGTAGGAACACCGTGTGACGTCCGCGTCATTCACCATGTGAACTCCGTGTGTGAAACTAGCAAAACTGTTTTCGCTGCAGGAGCAACGTAAATACACGACACGCAGAACGCGCAATCTGAGTTAGCGCAAAGTTCGAACCGCGCGGGAGCGACGTCGCACGGTGACTACACGCAATGCCCCCTCATTTTTCAGCGCGCAGCATGTGTACGATTATTCGTACGTTTTGCTGAACGACCACATGGTGAGTATGCCGCTGAAGTCTTAGGCGATGTTTTTGAATTCGCAAAAGCATATTTCCGCCATTTCTCATAACACAGTTTACAGTCCTAGCGCACTGAATATGTTTTCTACCGTAACATTAGCAAAGTCACGTTTCGTGACAACGCAAAGAACTACCAGGTCAAACATGTTCTGAACCAAAAGCCATTTCTGTAAGTTGTAATCACAATGGAAAATAAGCAAATAAGAAAAAATATAAAAGACCATATTTATACACCTTCGGAAAAGAGATCAACCCACGGCTACTGGCAAAATAAATTGGTGAGCAACTGGAAACCTTTAGTGTGGAAAAGACTAATATGGGCAAGGGAGGAGGCTTTCAGCCAAATTTTTCTAACGCAACAGACAAGCGAGTGGTGGGACGTAGCCTACTATGTAGGGAAATGGTATTATTCATAATGGCTAACAAGTACGTACGCATATCAGGATAAATTTTTGG